ACCAGGAAGCCGGCTGGAGGCCTGGGGATGAGCATTTGGACTGTTACCGGGAAGCTCAGATGAAGACCAGAGCTGGCTCTCGGTTCCGCGCCAGGGTGGGGTCCAAAAGCAGAGACGAAAACGCTGGGATCGACGGCAGTGAGCATGTGGGGCGCGGGGCAGTGCCCTCCCAACACCCCCGGGCAGACAGGGGTGCTGGCGCCCGAGGGGCTGCGCCTTCCTGAAGGGCTCGGCCAGCGCAGAGTAGGCCTGTCCTGGGAGCTGCCCGTCCGTCATTGTCATCGTGGAAGGGCCCCGCCTGGTTGTGGCGGCCGGGGCCAACTTGGTCCTGAACCAGCACGGGCTGGTCCTGCCAGGAGCCACGGCCTGCCCGCCCCACTCCCTCCTCTGCAGAAGCCCCAACAGTGCATCCTTTGAGCTTTGGGGTCTCGGCTTTGGAGTCGCGAGCCAGGACACTGATTGCGCAGAGGGCGTTGAAAATAACCTCAGCCCGTTAGTTGCTGAGGAGGAGCATTGACTTTCTAGCCACCCGCTTTGCTGGGTGTGTTGGAATATATTGAGTTTTGCCAAATACAAGTTACTGGAATTCAGAAGAAACAGTGGTGCTACAAACCAAGCCTCTGCTCTTTACCAAAATTGGGCCGTTCGGCAGGACAGTGGAGGGGAGGCCTGTCGACCCCACACATCCGTGTGGAAACAGTTACCACGTGCACACACGGCGTGTTCCCATGAAAGGTCCACCCGAACTCGGAGGGGTTAGGGTTAAAACAGGGCAAAACAAAATTAGTTCTTTGTCGAAGAGGACTAGTTAAGTTCTCTTTGTGTAGGTGAACCAAGTAGTGAAATCGGCACAGCTGCTACGCTGCTCAGGCTTAGGGAAGAGAGGCTTGTGGCGCAGACAAGCTGCGGCTGTGACCTGCAGAGCAGACGGTGAGAGCCCAGGACAGGAGCCAGAAATCCCAATTTACTGCCAGTTCTGGCTAGTCCTTAATTTTTTGAAAAAGAAACCTCCTCAGTAGGACCAGCGTAATTTCTGTACTTATTAAATGTGTCCGTGCCTGGTACTAGGCATAAAAGTAGTCACTCTGTCGTCATTAACTGTCTATTGATTGTAAGAAATTCTGCCCAAAAGGGACTCGGGTCATTTCCCTGCCCTGTTTAAGAGTCGTTCCCTGAAGCTGTTTTCTACTCTGTAGCTGTGGTGGCTAAATGTTTTTAGCCCCTCTGCAAAATTTATATTAAAAGTAGATGATCCAGAATAACGTTCTAATCTTATCTGGAAGCCCAGTGTATAAAACAGTAAAAGTTCTGTTCAAAGCAGGGCAGGTCCCATGAATGGACCCCTGAGAGGCTCTGGCAGCCCATCCTCCTTGAAAATCACAGCCTCGGTCCCCAAAACAGAAGGAGCAGAGCGGGAAGGGGTCGCTCAGAAGAGTGCCTGGCGCTCAGGCTTTTACAGGAGAAAAGGCACTTTCATTTCCTCTGGGCCTGAGATTCCAGAAAGAGGCGAGGGAGGGGCGGTGAGGGGGGAGAAGGTGGTTGGCCTTGAAGTGTGTGTGTGTGTGTGTGTGTGTGCGCGCGCGTGCGCGGGTGTATCTGTGTGTGTGGGGGTGTTTATATGTGTGTATGTATGTGTGTGTATTGTGTGGTCTGTGTGTATGTGATGTATATGTATATGTATTGTGAGGGATGTGTATGGATGTGGGTGTGGGTGTATATATATGTAGTGTGTGTGTGGTGTCTTGTGTATGTGGTGAATGTATATGTGTATAAATATGTATTTTGTGTGGTGTGTATATATGTAGTGTGTCTATGTGGTGTGTGTGTGTTTGTGTTGTGTGTATATGTGGGGGGTGTTGTGTGTGGTGTGTATGTGTGTATATGTTGTGTGTGTTGTGTATGTAGTGTGTGTATGTATTGTGTGTGTTGTGTGTGTTTATGTGTTGTAAGTATTGTGTGTGTTGTGTATGTTTGTGTGTGTATGTGTGGTGTGTATGTGTCGTGTGTGTGTTGTGTGTATATATGTTGTGTGTGAAGGGTATGTGTGTGTGGTGCGTGTATATGTATTGTGTGTGTGATGTGTGTGTGGTGTGTGTATATATATATTATGTGTGTGTGTGGTGTGTATATGTATGTGTGGTGTGTGTGTGGGGGGGGGTAACACCTTTGCACTTGTGACCGTGTCACACTTCTGGGAGCACTGCTGCTGCCTCCACTCCCGGCGGGGATTCTGTGAACTCGGAAGGGCGGCGACTTCGTCTCTGTGACATCAGGACCCATGGGTTGGGCCACATGTCCGGGCGTCTGGTGGGGCTGGACTAGACGGGCCCTCTGGCCCTGAGACGCTCCAGTAACAATGTGTTCCTTCCGTTTGCACCAGCAGAAACAAGACAAGACCGCCGACCGGTCGTCGGTGCTGGAGATGGAGAAGCGGGTGCGTGTGCGTGGGGGGAGGACACCGTCTGAAGGAGGCGGGAGCCTGCACGTCCCATCCCAGGGGGCGCCTCTCCTCTCTGCCTGACTCTGGATAGCAGTTTGGTCACTGGTGCTTCGGCCTCCTGAGAGCTCGGGGCGGGAGGGTCCTCAGGGGGCCGTCCGCGTCACCCTGGGAAAGCGGAACTGCGCAGGCTCGCCTGCCACGGCGTGTGGTCCAGGCCTCTGGACCCTTCCCGTCCTTTTGAACAGAGGGGGA